GTGTGTGTGTGTGTGTGTGTGTGTGTGTGTGTATCCAGCAAAAAGCCTGCAGTTGAATTATACCTTCTTTCAAACTGAGCCAATCCTATAAGACATAGTTCTGAATTCATCTTCCCCAACTCTCCTTTTCCCCAGAACAGACAAGGCTCATCACACACTTCAGCATGGAAGAAGACTTACAGGATTGTTTTAGCACAACCACTTGCCCAGGCAAGAGATGCTTAAGCATTTCATTAGAGATCTTTCCTTAACTGAAGTAAGTCCAATTACCAAAGGAATTTCCAACGAAAGAAAGCACATCTTGGAGTGCGATGCTAGACGGGTGATGGTTTTCTGTGAGTGTGACTTGCATTGTGACTTCTCCCAGTACTCTGTGCACTTGCTGCCTTATGTTCCTGTTGCTGTCACGGTATCAGAGACCACAAACCCCTCAGGCTTCCTTTTGCCCATGGAAAATGAGACCTGGATCATGTCCTTCCTGGACCCAGCTCAGTGTAGCCTGCTTTGTGTCAGAGCGAAACACAAAATAACCTAGGAGTAAATGTTGGCGCTTGCCTTCTTCCCTTCCAAAAGCTATACGAAGAGAGTCTCCTATCCAAAAAGGATAACTTCAGTGTTTTCCATATGGGTGCATTTAAAAATGTCACCTATGGTCAAACTGTGGAAGTTGTTACCTGGACAAGAATTTCTGAGAGTTTTCTTTAAAACAACAACAAGGCTAGGATTGTGTGATGAATTCAACTGGAGAATTGTGATTTCAACACTTTCTTTACCTCAGCAGTGCTCAGAGCCTTTACTATGTTCCTGTGCAAGAGGAAATGCCAAGATAGGAGACAAGCTCTGCTATCTCTCTGAAGTGCTTCCTCCTGTGTCCACACAGCCCTGGATGTAGCCTCAGGGACCCAACGGTTGAGGTTGCCTACTCTTTCAGAGCCCTTAGCCAGGATCTCCACTCACCTGTCCCAGTGCAGCCCCTTGCTCCACGACCCCGCCAGTGGTTCCCAGGCCTGGGAACCTAAGGGGTGCCCTGGCGCACCCGGCTCCACACCCAGTGGTGTGGGTTCTGGTTCTGGATCTGATAGGGAGAGGCGCATGTGAGTCTAGGAGGATGAGCCCAGCCTTTGTTCTTCTCTGGCTATCCCCCTGTCCACCCACTACTTCCCTGTCTGTCCCCAACAGACCTCCTCACACAACTCTGGAGTGACCCAGGCTCGGTAACCCATGGCTTGGAAGAAAGCCTTCTGCAGTTTCAGGAAGTCCTTGTACAAGTTTTTCCAGGTGTCCTTTCCGAGCAAGAATGGGAAGATATTCCTCTTGGATGTGAAGTCATCCTCTTCCATATCACAGGCGATGTAGCTGCCACAGGGAGGGGGGAAGTGTGCCTGTCCCTAATCACAACTCCCAGACTCATGCAGGGCAAGTGGGAGAGGTTACAGTGGTGGAAGCATGTGACCAAGAGACAGGGTGTGGGGAAGCAGTCTCTGTAGTGTGACCTGAACCTACAGGCTTCTGGGGCATCCTTGACACTGAGCCTGCAGTGTCCATTCTGCTCAGTCCCCAGGGAAATAAAAGGAACTCACTATTGTTTCCCAGGGGCTTCTTCACTCAGGTGACTCAGTCTGTGGGGGTGCTAGTGGTGTTTCTCAATGATTGTTATCATCTCAAGACCCATTCTTTCCTCCCTCTATCACGTTTCCCCTTGAAGTTTTCAACTGCTCTGTGGTTGAGAGTCACCACTCAGACCCAGAATGGTTGTGATGAAATGATGGAAGCATAGGAGTAGGGTTTGGACAGATTGCGAGCTATTCCCCAAGAAGGTGCTCACAGGGCCAGGAAGAAGTGGATCCTGTTGTAGAGGTGTCCAGGCAGCCCTACTCGGCTAAAGTACTCCACCACCATGGACAGAAGGTACTGTGTGGAGACAGACAGCAGCTGGTGAGCCAGAGTTTGGGCAGTGGGCAGAGGGTAAGTAATCTTAATCATCCCCCACACCCCCAAAGACACACAGAAGATTTGCTATGGATCCACATCCATTTGCTTGTGGGCATGACCTGATAGGAACACCAGGAAGGAGTGTTTTTGTTTTTTTTTTTTGCGGGGGTTAGTAAAGAATGGACAGTAGATCTCCCGTTCTCTACCCTTGAACAAAACCCTGCAAGGCTTTTCTTCGCCCGGCCTGATACATCTCTATTCTTTTCCCTGGGGGCTGTGACTCTGGAGACCATCTGTTACTGCAGGTACCTTGTCAGTCACACTGAAGGAGAGGTCAGCTGCCAAGAAGCTCTTGATCACAGGGTCTTCTGCAAAGAAAGGAAGAGTGAGGTGGCTTGGATGGTCTGTCTGGTGGGCTGAGTGTGCAGTGTGGGCTTCCATCTTCAGGGATTCTTTGGAAGGAATGGGTGACCTCCCGTCTTTCTACCTGAGCTGGTCCCTGAGAGGAAGCTGGTTCCTCCCTCCAGGAAGGTGTAAACCGTACTATCAGGAATGAAGGTGGTTTCTTTCATTGATGCACACATGATGTTTTGCATGTTGAATTTTTCTGTTAACTGATTCTTCAACATGGCCACACTTTTTTTCCCCACCAAACAGATTTAACTTGCCTTTGAATGTGCAACAAATTCCACTCAAATCAAAAACATGGACATGGCCTTAGGTCTTCATGACCACACAAGCTATCACTTCACCATGTTGGGACTAAATCTCTTGGGCAAAGATGTAGTTCATAGTTCCCTGCCCCCACAGCATCTCTTCATCCATTTTCTCCCTGAGTAATGACAGGCTTCCTCTTCCCCACGGACCTCATCTGTAGGTAGGGTTCTTCCCTGGAGGCACCATTTTCTGGGGAAGACCTGAGAATGTGGGGTCCTGAGTGTCCTTCACCACTTGCCCAGAAAAATGGCAGCACCCTCTTCTCCAGTCTCCCTGCCCTCAGAAGGACAATGTCTAATAGAACTTGCTCTAGTAGTTAAGAAGTTCTGTTCTTCTGCTGTGTAATATGGTAGGCACAGTCTCCTGTAGGTATTGAACTTTGGAAATGCAAGTGATGAAACTGAGGAACTGAACTTAGAACGTTTGCTTAATTCATTTAAAATTAAGAGTAAATAGCTGCATGTAGTTAGTGGATGCTATACTTAGTAGTGTGACCTGCCTGTTTCCCCACCCAGCCATACGTGGTCCCAGCTCTAGGTAGGCTGTTTTCACCTCAGACAAAATTTCTGTGATTCACTCATTTCATGATGCTCTCCTGCATTCACTCACACCCATCTCTAAGTGCTATGGACCCCAGATGTTCTTGTCTTATCCAGTTATAAGCTGAGGGCAACTTCATTGTGTAAATATGGTGGGGGTTTTTTGTATCTCTCTGCTATAGCATCAGTTGAGCAAGGGGTGATTT